CTAAAAGCATATGTAACATAATATCATTAACATCTTAAAACACTTACTAAGCTTTTAAAAGAACAATGCAACATAAACATCCATATGCAATTATGGATTAATATAACATAATTACAATCATGGTTATATGCAAGACAAAATAATTAACCTCTTAAAAGAACAATTGCAACATAAACATACTTAAAATAGAAAGAATATGAAATTTAAAATGTAATTTGTCACTTATCCTACGCACTTTGCAAACCTCCTCGAACAAATCTCTTCTTAGGTTTAATACCTAAAGAAACAAACACTTATATTAATATAAATGAAATTTTCTTTTCAATGTTCTCATTAAATATTTTTCCTTCCTAACTACTCTACCTAAGCAATTAATAAAATTTTAGCATACAAATTTCGGATTTAATTAAAATCCTAATTTTAGGAACTCAAATATATTTTCTCCCAATTACATTTTAAAACATTTTCCCTAACCTATATTATAACTAAACCTAATTATTTTTTGGATTAATTAATTTAGAAATTAGGGTGAAATATTTTTTATTAAAATCTTATTTTCTCTTAATTAGAGCCTTCCCAAGACTCCTAGGAATAACATTAGTTAACAACTTATCTCAAAATCTCAAAATAAGGAAAAGCTCTAATTTTTTAAACTAAAAAAAAAACTTTATGAAAAAATTCAAATTTCATGCTTATAAGTGTTTTTAAAACTTTCCTAATAATATTCCTAAGACAAAATTAAATTTTCATAAAACTCTAATTTGGAAACTTAAGATTTTCTTGAGCAAAATCACATTTTAAATGGTTAGAATCATGTTTTAAACATTTCCTATCATTCTTCTTAGAAAACCTTATTTTTTTAAAACATTAATGAATTAATAATCTTCTTAGAAAACCTTATGATTTGAGTAAGTCCTAAAATTTAAACCTAAGAATATTTAGGGGAAAATGAGAGTTTCTTAGTAATAAAAGCTTATTTCCTTCTTCCTTAGCTTTTCGCCTTTGATTTCACCCCAAGACCTCGCCAGAAACAACCGCCTGCCGCCGGATTTCACAAGCACCCGCCACCCTCTCCCTTTCACGTGAGCGGCCGAACGAACAAGAGCAAGGGACAGAATGATTTCAGTCTCTTAGGCTTTTGGAGGTTTAAGGGATGAGTTAATTGCCTAATTACGCATGTACCATTTCTGCTAATAGTTTTCTTAAGGATCATGAGGACAATTTGGGTATAAAGGCTAAATATTATTTAAGTTAACTTTGACGATTTTTAGTTTTAAATTCGTGCGAAATTAGGTATAGGTTCTTTATAGCGTTTCGATCAAAATTTTGCATAGAATTTAATAAAATTATTTGCTTCAAATTCCGACGACTTCAAAAATTTTGCCTAATTTCGTCGCGGCGCATTGAAATACGTGCGATGCATACGCTCAATAATTTTTCGGATTTATAAATCTCTCCTCATAAAAATTTCATCCTCAAAATTTAAAACAGGAGTAACAAAATATACCTTACTCAAAGAGATGAGGATAGTATTTCTTCATTTTTGACTCTTTCTCTCATGTAGCGTCCTTCTCAGACCCAAGCTTCCATAGAATCTTTACAAAAGGTATATCCTTGCTTCTAAGTTGTTTCACACTGAACTCCAAAATACGATCTGATTCTTCTGCATAAGTAAGATCTGGTTGTATGTCCACGTGCTCGATTATGATCTTAGAAGGATCGTCTAATATAAAATTTCTTACGGAAGAAACATGAAACACGTTGTGTACAGCATACATAACTGGCAAATCCAATCTGTAGGCCACATTTCCTATCATTTCCACAACCTCAAAAGGACCAATGTATCGGGGACTAAGCTTGTCAGTCTTGCCAAAAAGCAATATAAAATTCATAGGCCTAATCTTAATAAAAACAAAATCTCCCACATTGAATTCTAAAGAGCGGTGCTTAACATCATAATACTTATTATGCCTATCTTGTATTGCTTTCAACCTATTTTGATAATTTTGATCTTGTTGGTAGCATTATCAACTAAATCAGAGCCAATTACTTTCCTTTCACCTGCTTCAGCCCAACATAAGGGTGTTCTACATTTCCTTCCATAGAGTACTTCGTAGGGAGTCATAGTTATGTTGGCTTGAAAGTTATTGTTATAAGCAAACTCTATCAAAGGAATGTGAGATTCCAATCCTCCACCAAAATCAAGAACACACAATCCAATCAAATCTTAAAGAGTTTGTATAGTCCTCTATGATTGTCCATCGGTCTGAGAATGAAATGTTATACTAAAGGTCAATCTGGAACCCATAGCCTCTCGAACCTTCCTCCATAGTCTAGAGGTAAATATGTCATCATGATCAGATACTATGGATTTTGGTACATCATGCAGTCAAACAATCTCTGTCACATATAACATTGCTAACCTCACAACTGAGTCAGTATGTCGAATACGCAAGAAGCGAGCAGACTTCGTAAGCCTATCAATGATAACCTAAATAGCATCATGACTCCGTCGAGATCTCGGTAAACCCGTCACAAAGTCCATAACAATATCATCCCACTTCCATTCTTGAATAGGCAAGAGTTGAAGTAATCCACCTGGCCTTTGATGTTCAGCTTTGACCAACTGACAAGTAGAACACTTTGCAACAAAATCAGCTACACTTCTCTTCATTCCAGGCCACCAAAATAAACCCTTAAGGATGATGATATAACCAGAATGATTAGCTTCATAAAGAACATCCCTCCTCAAATCATCCACATTTGGTACACAAAATCTGCCCTTGTACCACAAAAGATCATCTTCATCAATAGTAAAATCCTCTTCATGGCCTGCTTTCACCAAATCAATAATCTTCATAAACTCAGGATCCCTCAACAAAGCTTCAGTTATCTTACTCTTCAAATCAGGTTGTATTGTCATATGACCTAACCATACATTCTTTGTTGTAGGAAGTATCACAGACAACTCTAAGCGTTCCATCTCCTCAATCAGCTTCTCATATTGGGTCAATAAGTAATTCACCTTCACATGCATCTTACTGCTCAAGGCATCAGCAATTGTATTTGCTTTTCCTGAATGATATTGAATATTTAGATCATAATCATTAAGTAATTCCATCCAACCCCTCTGCCTTAAATTCACCTCCTGCGAAAAGATATACTTCATTTTTGATGATCGGTGAATACTTCACAACGTACACCATATATGTAGTGCCTCCAAATCTTCAAAGTAAAGACTACTGCATCAAGCTCCAAATCATGCGTTGGATAGTTCTTCTCATAGTTTTTCAACTGCCTAGAGGCATAAGAAACTACCTTCCCATGTTGCATCAAGACACATCCTAAGCCCCGTAGTGATGCATCACTGAAAATCTGAAAACCTTTAGTGCTTGAAGGAATGGTGAGAAATGGTGCAGTCATCAAGCGAGTCTTCAACTCTTGAAATGCCTCTTCACATCGACTGTTCCACTAAAAACTCACTGCTTTCTGAGTCAATCAACTCAATGGTGCAGCAATCTTGGAGAACCCTTCAACAAACTTCTATAATAGCCGACTAACCCAAGAAAGCTTCATACCTCAGTAACAGTCGTAGGTTTAGGTCAATCAGCTATAGCCTGTACCTTATGCGGCCAAAGTGTGAGTGGGTTGGTTTAGATTTTTAAGGTAACAAATTTAGTAAAGTTTGACAACCGCCTCTAGGAATGGGATGGGGATGGCATGGGTTCGACATGGCTATAGGAATGTGAGAGGAAGGCATTTTGACTTCTTTCTTAACAACAACAATAACAATAATAATGCAAACAACAAACAAACATGAAGCCTTTATCCTAATACGTGGGGTCGGCTACATAAATTATTTTTCTCCATTATGTCCTCTCAAGAGTCAAATTCTCATTTAAATCAAATAAAAAATATTATTTCTAATATTTTTAACCAAATTTTTTTAGGTTTACCTATATATTTATTATCATATGATAAATCTAATACATTTACTCCCCTAACCTTGCCATCCGAAGGCCAACGTTTTATGTGACAAGACCATCTATATATATATATTGATTTCTCACAAAAGTCTAGTCGCTCGTGCAGATTGAAATCACATCACCTTATGTGCAGGCAAAATTTTGAATTTCTCCTACAGCAACATGGACATCATGGATATCTATCTTAGTTGTTTCTAATGCCTCAAATGCACTATCACAGTCTAGTTTCACAAACGGGCGTTGTTTGGGCAACTTAAATTTTTGTTTGATGCATTTTGAACAACATTTCATGCGATTTCTTGTTCGTTGTCTGTCATTTTGACCAATTCAAATTAGTCGACTTCGATTAGCGCGTGAAGTCACATTGAATTTTGATATATAAGTGTGATAATCCGGTGTAGGAGATGAACGAGTGAGGTAAAAAGATGGAGATAAATAAATGCCTTAAAGGAAAGGAGATTAGTTGAGAGAGAAACTTTGAGGAAAAAGATGGAAGGAATTGATCCTCAGAAAGGGTGCCAAAGAAAGCCATATTGTTATTTCATAATCAACAATCTAAATTACACAACAATAAACATTATCTATAATAATAATAAATAATCAAACTAACAAAAACCACTTCTCAAAAATTAAAAATATCAAATTAGACCTAAATGACAGATGACACTTTGGCCATTCATAATAAGCTTAAATACAAATAAAGAAGATGTCACAGTACATTAAGTAATAATGGAAAGCAAAAGAATCATGACTAAAGACTAAGCTGGACAAATAGAATTCTATCATAGATCTTCATCTGAATTGATTTCTATCATTTTCTTGATTTTAATTAGAGATAATCAATACATATTATGGATTAACAGCTTGTGTCTAGTGGATTTTGAATGTTAGTTACTTTTTTTATCGCACCACATATTAATTTTTTATTAGAAACCCTACATTCTACGTCACATACATCAGCATCCACAATGAATCGTAAGATTTCCTCCTAACATGGACAAATGAGCTAGTTACCTCTTCAAAGTCATCATCAGATAACATGCATATCTTAACATCCATTGATATGTTGGAAATGCAGAGGACTATATCTGTACTCATCTCCTTAAACGTGTATTCTTGCGGAACCTTTTTCACTGCTGCAAGGGACACAATAATAACACTACTCAGTGATCAGAGAGAAAATTTATCAAATCAAAACAAATCAACAAAATGAGTTTTCATAACCTATAACTTGGCCTAGCTGGTATAGCTTCCAAGGCGCACCATTGAAGCCTTTCGGATCAACTTTTACTCTTACAAAACAGCCAATAATCTTAGTTTCAATTGTCATGGTGTCTTTCAGTAATTCCACAATTAAAGATCGCTTTAAATAAACTGCTTTAATAGTATTTCTGGTTATTTCTGCAAAGCAACTTTTAGGAGGTTCCAAGAGCAGCTCATTATGGTGATCTATATAAGGTTTAACTTTGGAATCACATCTAACTTTAGAATGACATCTAACTCTAGAATCGCATCTAGTGGTTCTTTTTCTTCTTCCTGATTTGGCATACACATCTTCCTCGGCACTTGAGAATTCATCTAAAGAACCATCACTAGAAGCAAAGTGCCTTTCCAACAAGGTGTATAGTCGACTAAGCTTGAACTTCCTTCTCCTTATCAGACAGTGCAATGTTGAATCAGAAATGGCATACTTTTTACCCCTCTTATCATGATGAAGAAGACCCTTGGACAGGATGTAATCCCTAACAATCTCATACACATCAAATTTTTCTAGAGGTTCTTTTGTTTCCTTTCCCAGATCAGCAAGAAATTTGACCAGCACCGTTGAGCCCCAGCCAACAAACATATTCTTATCTGACTTCAACTTTTTTCTCGTTCTGGCTTTTCTATCCCTTTTCCACTTCAAAGGCATCAAAGAATGATCTTCAATTTCACAATCATCCTCAGAATCAGAAACTTCCACTGGCTGTTCTGAAGACATGTCTTGTCCTGAAGAAACGTCTAGATCTGACCAGTTCTTGTCCTTATAAACCCCGTTAAGAAGAGCATCAGCATATCGTACATTCTCCTTTGTTAACCCTTCTTGGCGTTTCACTATGGGCCAATAGTCCTTGAAGAGGAATTCCCATGTGTTTCTATCATCAAAATCTACTTTTTCCTGTAATAAAAACGATAGAAATGACAGAGTACCAGCTTTTAAGACAAAGAAGAAACTTTAATGAATCCTAGTGGTTTTATAAAATCCATTTCATCAACCAACGTGAATATGATCAAATGATAATTAAGATCCTTGATAACAACTCCTTTACTCGCATGACTAAAAAACGTAAGTTGATTATCAAGAAAATGGCACTGAAAAACTAAATGGTCAAATGGCTCATTGAAGGTACCTCATCAGAATCATCATCAGCACAATCTTCTACTAATTTCGCTAATCTCAGGCATTCACCACAAAAGCCTTTTGTCCCTTTCACTTGGCCAAACTCAGCCTTTCGAACACATTTGCGACAAAATGATGTTGGGCAACAGAAACATTTGAAAGTTGATCTTTTGTAGCAAACGAAGCAAGAATGCCAACCTATCAGTTTAAACCATGGGTTAGTCAATGTCATCAGCATCACTGAATAATAGAGCAAAGAAATGAAGATAAGGATTAGGTGACCAATGTTCAGCAGTACCATGGAGAGAGAGAAGGAATAGAACATCTATAAAATGAAATAAGTACACCTAAAAATAGATAAACAGCTTTCAACCTCTATACAACATAACAAAATTCATCAACGATAGTCACTTCCAAGAAGAATTCTTTGTTAAGAAGTCCACGAAATGAAGACTGACATGATTCATCAGTCATAACAAAAGGAGCTTCTTAAGCAAGCACCAACATAAGGATATTCTTCTCACGCAAATGCCAAGAAGAAAACATGAAAGATTGTTCCATGGGTGCCATAATGTAAACATGTATAATGCATGTGACCCAGGAAGACACAAATGAGAGAAATTGGGGCAAGGATTTTAGTTAGTTGAAGTACTCATGAAAAATCCACCTGATCTCTTGAAGCACCTTTATTTTGGCAATGCCCGACTCAGTCATTGCTTAGTGTTTTCACTAAAAAGAAAACAGTAGAACAAAAATGGTGATCTAAGATTTAGAGGATGTTTCACATTTGCAACACATTTGGATTCAACATTGTCGGGATAGGCAGCCCTATACCCATGCAACTTAGGAGATAAAATTATCTAGATGAAAATAAAATTATCAAATCTAATATGGTTGATCATGATCCAATAGTCATATGTCACGACTCGGCCCGATAAGCTCACATAAGCGAGGCGGGAACGAAAGTCAGACGGTAAATATTCAAAACATTTCAAGTGCATATCCAAACATAGAGAAAGAGCCACTAAAGATTCCAAGTAACATTTTTTTTCTTCTTTCATTCAAAAATCAACGCATACATAAAAATTCATTACATAAATGGATGTACAAAAGTCTAACTATCACATACTATCATGCGCATCCATCTAATACAAAATATCAAAATACTTAAAAAAGGAACCTGTCACCCGTCGTCTCCCTACGATGGTAAGTATACGGCTGTCTATCCGTCATTAATGATTAATAGGTTCTCCTGAAATTTTTTCACAATTTGAGTGAGTCATAACTCAGTAGGTAAAATACTATTCAATTAAATTCAGAAGTAAGGTAACGAGTACAACATGCATGTCAATACTTCTAATTAAAAGAAAATTGAACTTGTCATTATGTAGTAATTACTGTGCATATGACCCTATGTTAACCTATATGTCCTTTTACTTTGCATAAACTTGAAATCTTTTACATTATATATTTTCAAGATTCATTTGATGTTTTTATGCTTATAACATAATAACATATTTTTATTCACTCGTCACAGAAGTATCATTTTGTTTTGTACTGATCAGGTACACTTTCAATTGGTCATTCATTTACCATTTGCTCCAAAAAAGCCCTTTACCCTTTGCTCCAAAGTGCCCTTTACCATTTTGATACTCTGCATCAATATACACATTCAACCATTCAATATGTATTCATAGAATGATATTAACACATCATTCATGTAGATGTTTTAATACTCCTATATTTTTCTACATTAATATTTATTAAAGGAGACATAAGCTTTGTAAATTATCCACAATTATCAAATGAGAAAGACACAATTACAACATTGTATTTAAAGGCATACTAGGTTATCCACATGAGCAAAATACATGATATTTAAGAGCATGATAAGCTATCTATATGAGAAAGGTACATAGCATTTAAAACTGTGCTAGGCTAATCACATGACATTATAAATAACAAGCTAACGTTTGAAAAGAGAACATACTAACATTTGAAAAGAGAAGAAATATCTGAAATTAAAATAATCACATTTTTACCTACCTCACCATTGTGTGAAATTCGTTGTTTGCCCTATCAAGGTCTTTCCTCTACCACCTCCAATATCTAAAAAAAATATAACATTGATCGTCACATACTTCCTTAATTCCTAATTCATAAAAAAATGGGATTTTTATATACATAACACTTAAAACAATTCAAAATACATTTTTAACACCCAAAGTACTATATTTACTAATATACCACCTAAAACTCTTATTTTCATCTTTTATAACACTCCGTTAAGCTCCTCATCGCGTCTTCCGTTACTTCATGCGAGGATCAACGACGAGCTTTGAAGAGAGCATATTGCTCAATCACTGAAGGTGTAAATTGTAATAGGCTTGTGAAGAGAATCCATCACTAACACCATCTTGGAGATTGTAGCAATGTTGCCAACTCTTTTGCCACTACAAAATACAAACCCACCAAATATTCAACTAGTATCCAAAAACTAAAGATCCTAAGATTTTCATAAGTTTAAGCATTGGTAATATGATTGGACTTGCATGATATTTCCTATTTTCAATTAGTTATTGCCAAACATGTTAACATAATCTTTCATTTTTCTTCTTTTTTTTACCTTTTTCCTTTTCTTTTTGCAAGCAATGCCTCTTTGGCCTGTAAAAATTAACCTTGTGTGTTTATTGAATGAAAACTGCAAACTAAAAAATTTGCATGCCCTCAGACAAGTTGTGGGGTTGATCCCTCAAAGATGTTACTTATTGTCATATTGAGAATCTCAAGAGTCTATCAAATTATCAAAGAAATCAGTCTTCAAATGTCGTAGTGCATCTCCTGCCCATATTTGTCTTCAAACACACCCTCGGTTGCCCTCTCTTTGTCCATTGTAGCTAATGCAGGACTAAATATACTTTAGATGAATATGATAAGAACTTGCATGATTTTGATAAGAGCAAAAAATAATTACGACTATTAGCCACTAAATGATAATAGAAAGCATAAGAGGGATAGCTATGCTTAGGCAAAATCACATGCTAAGAACATGAATCATCAAAACAATTTAGAATTTCAACAACATACAAATAAAGCAGTCACTCAACAAAAATCCCTACGTTAACAATAAGATTAGAAACATAGAAAGTAAAACTCAATTCCTACAATTACTAAGCGGCGGCAGAGGGCAAGGCACGACTCCTTGCGATTGGATCACCACCTACAAGATTAGCGGATAAGGAAGATAAATGAATAGGGAAGAAGTTCACCCTTATCGGGGTCCGGAAATAATTTGTCACTGAGCGTTGGCATGTTGTTCTTCGACGGCTTTGAAAAGTGTGATGATGCGGTCCATGTATTCTTCGACGAAGTTGTCGGTGTCCAGGTTGAAGTCGAAGGTGGAGTGGAGAATGTTGGCGTTCCCTTGCTCGTCGTATGCAAATCCAGAATCAAGTTCAGGATCGGCCATTCATTGGATTGAGGTGTGGATGACGATCGTTGTTGCTTCCCTTAAAGACTCACTAGAGAGAAAGAAGTTTCTCTCAAGAGTTGTGATGGAGAAGGAGGGGGTGGCCGGCCCAAGGAAGGAGGATAGGGGAGGAATTTAGGTTCAGATTTTGGGAGGTTAGATGTAGGGAGCTTTGGAATTTATCTACTCTAATTAATTTCTTCCTTTGGAATTAATCAAAGAGGGAAATATATGAGGGGGGCGGGGGGTTTATTTCCAAAATTTAAAGATGGGATTTTGAAAAAAAATTGAGGAGGTGGGGGACTTTGGAAATTTCAGCCAAGAGAGGGAGAGGGGTGACTTGAATTCTTTCCAAGAGAGTAACTTGGATTTTGGAAATAATTTTCAATGGAATCCAAGAGGGGCCGGCAGCAATAGGTGAGGGAGGTGGGATTTAAGGAGGCATTCAATGCTTTCTTAAATTAATAAATTAAATTTGGAATGAAATATTTCATCCCAATTTAATTCAAAATTCAAATAAACTATGAATTGAAAAGTTTCCTAAAATAGAATTTATAATTTAACTAACTATTTCAAATTCAAATAGATTTGAATTTGCTCATTAATAAAGTTACCTAAAATATGAAAAGCTAATTTAGTAAAAGCTTGATGGCAAGTTGAAGATGGAGGAAAAACCGAGGGGAGAGGCCGGCGGTATGGGCTTGGCCGTGAGTGGTGGTGGAGAGAGGTGGGATGGGGTGTAAGGTGGGAATTGGGAGCTATCCGACGGTGAGGGTGAATGGCTAAGGTGGCCGGCGGCTTAGGGGAAGGGAAGAAGGGGGGAGAAAGATAGAGAAGAAAGAACCACAAACCTGGACACTTCCAAGGTTGGTGGGTGATTTGATTCCCTCTCCAAGGGATCTGTCTCAAATCTCTCTCAAGCTCTCACAATAACTCAAACATGGGGAAAATTATATTCTTCATTCATTAATCATGAAAAGAGAACATAAGGGTTATATATAGCCTCATACAATGGAATCGAAAATAAAAGACGACGATGCCCTTTGGGCTTACACATGACCACCCTTAAGTAAGGGGTAAAAAGAGAAAAACAAATAAAGCAAATACAAACATAAATAAATAAAAGACAAATACATAATAAAACTTAAAAATACATCGGCTCGATGGTAGCCGTAGATCGACGGCCATGTCTATGATAGACTTTCCAACTATGATGCACCGACACGGACATGGCGACACGGACACGGGACATGGCAATTTTTAAAAATATAGGACACGGGTGTGGCGTGGACACGGCATAATAATTTTTAATATAATATATAGAAATTAAGGTGGCATTATAGTAAAAATGACAAGCAATAATAAATCAATTTCATGATAACTTGTTTAGCTTATAACATAAAGATGTTTGGTACAAAATGTTTAGTACAAACACAAAAATATAAGCAAAAAATCATTTAATACAACATGAAGGTCCAACTACTCAATAGAGGGAATGATAGAATTAGATTCAGATGTTGGTCTTTGTCCTTCAATATCATCATCATCATTGAATATCATTGCTTCCAACTCTGGTTCATCTAGAGAAATATTTGCAACCTCCAATAATCCCATATCATCAAGGCACTCGAACCCATCTCCAGGAACATCCCACATCTTGTTATCACATGTCATATAAAGTGGGGTTTTCCTTGATAGAATATGAAGATTTGTATGCACATAAACTAAA